ATAGTGAAGATAAGATTTTATGTGAAAGTTAAAGGATTTTGAATCTATTATTTTGTTTATATTTGGAGGGAGGGGAGTTTGATTATTTTTTAAGAAAGGTGTATGAATTGTGAAGAAATATGTAGATAAATAAAAATATGTAGATAAATAGATTTTATATTGTTAATGACTCTTCTCTCTTATTTTTCAGTCAACTATTTTATTTTTGGATTCAAATCATTTCTTTTCTCTGGTATAAAAGAAAAAAACATAACTTATCTTGAGTGTTGATGAATTCATCGTAAATTTTAATAAATAAATATTGAGATATGCTAGCAACAAGATGGAAAATCTGCGATTTACAATATTGGTTTTTTTTGTGAGTATCGTTAAGTTCTATTTGCAGTATTTTTTTAAGAAACAAGATTTTTAATGTGAAAATATCCGAATATATCTAGGATGATGAATTTTAACATTGATATTAATCAGTCTAAGTAGATGTTGCGGTATGATTTTGTAGGTTATACAATGTTTTAAAAATCGAATATATAAATTACTATTTATAATTAGTCTACGAAATTTAATAATTCCATAATTTAAGAATTTTAACTACATGAAAATAGTTGTCGTGTATAAATTTAAAATATGAAAATTGTGTTTGACGCTTCATTACAGCCAGTGTCAGAAAACTTAGAAAATAAGTAATAAAGAAACTCTTGAGATTTAAAACAATGAAAAAATTAAGAGGCGTAAGAATCAATGGTTCACAATTAAAATTAGAGTAAATAAAAATCAATATTAAGATTGGAAACAAGACTAAGATTTTATGTTAAATACATTACTTTAAATACGAAGCGCTACGATTTGAATATAAAGATGTTGAACTATTATATATATTCATATAAATGAATTAATTTCAGAAATGATAATTGCGTGCCAATACGGTTGTCGGACTTTCGACGCAATCAATCTGAAATATTAATACTCCCCCCAGATTTCCCAAATTAATCTTAAAAAACTGTAATAAACTTATTGCGAAAAATAATTCATTATTTATGCGAAATTAATTCATTTATATGAATATATATAATAGTTCAACATCTTAACATTCACACCATAGTGGCGCTTCGTATTAAAAAAAATAAATATATTGGGTATGGGAAAAAGTTCGTGGCGTTTTTCCCGCTAGATGACATTAAATGCTCAACAGTCGGCAACTATTAATCGCATCGGCAACACTAGACGTGCGTTTAAAAAATGACATTTTAACCTTTGTTTGTTTGAGCTGAAAAAGATTGAAACTGGTGAAGTGGATCAAAAGTTATTTTATTTTGAAAATGGAAATAAATAAATAAGAAAAAATTCGCTACATTTTGCAGTATCACACACGATAAAAGCAAGAATGCTGCACAGGCTTGTGAAAAAATTTGCGATGAAGATATTCTATCAAAATCAGCAGCACGGAAATAATTCGCTTGCTTTCGTGCTGGAAATTTCGATTAAAGATGAATCTCGCTCCGGTCGACCAATCACTGAAAAGTCCGATGAAATCATGGTAAAAGTCGAACGTGATAAGCGTGAGCACTGTGGAGATTGCTAGAGAATTATCGACCATAAAACAGTTTTAAATCATTTACACAAAGCTGGATACAAAAAGAAGCTCGAAGAAGCATGTTTGGGATCCTCACAAGTTGAGTGTTAGGAACATGATGGACTGAATTACAATAACATTTGTGATACGCTACTGAAACGGAATGAAATTGAGCCATTTCTGAAGAGAATAATAACTGGTGATGAAAAATGGATCACCTACGACAACTAGAAAAAGATCGTGGATAAAGAAAGGAGAGAAGGCACAAGCAATTGAAAAACCTGGATTGACGAGGAAGAAGGTGATGTTGTGTGTGTGGTGGGATTGAAAGGGAATCGTTCACTATGAGCTGTTATCGTTCAATCAAACAAATTAATTCCGAACTCTACTGTGAAGATTACAACAAGCAATTGAAAGGAAATGGCTAGAATTAATCAAGAGGAGAGGTGTCATCTTCCATCACGACAACGCTCGATCACACACATCTTTGATGACTCGGCAAAAATTGCGAGAGCTTGACTGGGAAGTTTTAATGCATCCACCGTATAGTCCTGACATAGCATCCTTAGACTATCATTTGTTTAGGTCTCTTTGTTTAGAACTCTCTTAATGGTGTAAAGCTAGCTTCAAAAGAAGCCTGTGAAAATCACTTGAAGCAGTTTTTCGATTAGAAGTTCTATCGCGATGGAATTATGACTCTGCCCCAAAAATGGCAAAATATTATAGAAAATAATGGAGCATATTTGATTTAAATAAATTGATTTCAATACTCTAAGAAAAACACTTTAATTTAAAAAAATCGCCACGAACTTTTTCTCATATTATAAAATTTCCAATATTATAAAGTAAAATATAATTAGATACAAATTTAGGTTCATGGATTTGTTCAAGCGTCCGCCACATGTCATAATCATGCATTTTTATAATCCTCTATGTTTATATTAATCTACTATTCAAATCTATAGCTATTCACGCCTTATCGTTGTTAGTTTGATATTGTTTTCTATCGGCTATTACTTAACTCGATCTTACTGAGTGCATGACCAAGTAATCCTTTATCTTTTAGGAGTCTTTTATTTCGATTTTCTATGTCCGATAATTTCTATCGAATAGCTTCTCGACTAAATTCTCGTTTCTGTTTGTCTGTATGGCTCATCTTTCTCAATTTTTCTAAAATTTTCTATCTATAACCTCTTTTATAATCTCTCAACTTCCCAGGAAGTAACTTTCTATAATGCGCCTTGCCTGTTTATATTTTCTATACTTCTGAACGTCTTGGGTCCATAACTATTTATTAGAGCGAAGCGAATAAGTAAAGATGATGATTTATAAAAATTATAAACACTTTATTGGACCGCGGTCCGATTCACACTCATAACGTTTAAAAATCATTTTATCCTTGTTATTTCAAATGAAGATAAAATAATATTCATGAGCGTTGTCAGAATGAATCGGATCACGGTCTTGTACAATCACCATTGACACATTTAAAATGAATGTGATTGCGCTTGTGAATACAAAAGAACAAGAAAGTATATATATATAAAAAAGCAAAAGAGGGCGCGCCTAGCGACGACAAAATTTATTAGTCGATAAAATGTCAGTAATCGATCGTGATCTATAAGAATAGTAAGTTCATATTTCATCAGGCGCGAATCAATATCTGGACAAACAATTATTCATTATTTTTATATAACAAATATTTATATAACAAATATTTTTTCTCTTTTATAGATTCGAATATCCAGGATTAAAGTATATTAATATGTCTTTGTAAGATGGAGTTTATATCAAGGACTAAAAATTTCAAAATTAATATATTTTTTACCGTTTCTTAATGTAATATGGCATCTCAAGCTGTCAAGTCGTGACAACATTTGATACGAAAATTTTGCAACTTGTACTTGTACTTACGAAATAATAATCCATAAACACATAATTTGCATAAATAATATCGAATTTTTAGAATTAGATTTATAAGGGACTCAACTGTCCCGCTCCGATTTTAATGAATTTTTAGTATGTTATTCTTCAATAATAAGCGACATGTATTTTTTTATATGCACTTGCCCATATGCACTTTTAAGGGATGAAACACCTTTTAAAAGAAAATCGATTTTTCTCTTTCGAAGCGAATTGTTGAAACTGTAAAGAAAAAAATTTGAAACAGAAATTAATTTCAAGAGTACTTTATAATACAAAAGAAAACAAATTTTTTTAAAATTTTTTTATTTGTTTATCTCCACCATTTGGACTTTTATTTTTAATTTTGATTTTTTTATAATAAAACAAAATTATTTTAAGACTAATTCAACCATGTGATAAGTTGTTAGTCGCTTTATCGTGACGAATTTGTTATATAAAAATTGACATGATATCATAGGTTGCGAGATATTGGTGTGGTAGTACATGTCGATGCGCTGGAAAAATGACTTCTGCTGATTTCGTCGGAGTTCTTTATTTTAGGATTCCTTTAAATTAGTTTTTGATTTTGCCAATTCCAGCAAGAAACACCTCATCGAATTAATATCGAATCTCATTTCGATTATTTTGCCGTCAATTGCATGTCTGATTGATGTCTAATTGATGATTATTTTTCACTAGAATGGTTTTCGCAGTCATGTTATTTTTTTCAAGAAACTGAATTTGTCAAGAAATTAAACTTATCAAGAAAACTTATTACTAAATATATCTGTTAATAATATTTTAACTTAAAATACAGCAAATCTCCGCTTTTTGGACTGCTCAGGGACTGCCACACTAACGCGAACGCTTTCAATATTCCACAATTGCAAAATGAGATAACACATTTTCTTATTACAAGATTATTATATTTTTATTTTTGATGATAAGTTTAATAGATTTATAGAAGATCCTTTAAAACGAAATTTTCGTGATCAAGTTATCTTCTATCTGCTTACAACTGCAATAAAACCGATTTATCGATGAAATGTTAATTATTTGTAACAATATGATTAGCGATTCGAAATTATATCTTAGCTAGCAAAATATGATAAATATTTATTTTGCATGATTTATGTTATCATTTTTAAAGCACACTGTTGACAGTTATCGTGTGCTGCAGCTTATATCAAAACGCTAAAAAAAACGATTAAATTTCCAAGATAAATTAAAAATAAAGAATAAAATGAAAGCTTTTAAATTACCGCCGTACATATATCAGAAAATATTCATTTTCAGCAAGTCCATATTTCAAATTAATAATCGCACTGAGAAAAATGTCTGGTTGAAAATGAAGCTGAAGATTTTAACATTAATTGGAATTTCAGTTATCTGAACTGAAATTTTAATAGATTTAACCAGAAAATTCTGATTCGTCTATTTTCAATCAGAATTCCTATTAATCTAACCAGTCATTTTTCTCATTGCGAGATATTCACATCATTATTGCAATCGTCTGATCTCAAATTCACTCCATACTGTTCATTTCTATTTGCTCATTCTCAAGGCTAAAACTTTTTTGTATTTTGGCCAGACTATGACCACGAGTATCTTTTACAAATAAGGCGCAAAGTACTCCAGCTGTCCAGCAAAAGCCAGCAAAGAGCCACATAGTCTTTGGGACACCAAGGACACCCAGCATCTCTCCGAATGCTATTGCTGTTATTAGAGAGAGGGCCCAATTAAAAGCAGCTGCACAGGCAACGGCAGTCTCTCTGATTTGCATAGGAAAAACATCGCCTAATAGCGCCCATGAAATCGGTCCGACACCGATATTGAAAGCAGCGAAAAAGAGAGTTGTCCAAGTTGGCGGCATCCAAAAATACAAGTCGTCATATTCTGGATTTTGATCCCTCAATTTGTAAAACCATCCTACAAATCAAAATTTGAAATTATTTTATTTAGAAATTATTATATTTAGTTTTATTTATGTAAACATTTACTGTCAAATATGTATTAATTTATGTTTTCACACACACGCGCGCGCACTTAATAAAAACTTTTTGTTATTATTGAGTTTTTCGGTTACATTTATTTCTAGTGACAAAAGAGCAATTTTTCCTAATCAAAATTATCTTTTTAACACTCATGTTTATTTTAAATATTCATATTTAATATACTGTGTTCTTTTTCGGTGCTCACAAGAGAACCATCGGAACTTTTATCGATTTTAATGAGCTTTGGATAGTTATAGAGCATGAAAAAATATTAGATCCATATTTTTTTTGTGCTTATCTCGAGGTTTAGGTAGTGAAACACTCCCTCGAAAATAACGGATTATATCATTTTTCTTAAATATCTTTTAAATTATGAAATATATTCAAAAATGTTTTATATAAAAGTTGTATAGTTTCTTATGCTCTGTATAACGGACATGTATAAAAGATGCAAAAATCAATTTTGCAACAAATTGTTATAAACAAATTATTATAAATTGTAGAAAAATTTTGATTACACCAATCGATTACGGATTGTACGGAAAAAATTACAAGAAGCATACTTAAATTTTTTTATGTTTATGCAAAAAAATTAATAAATTATAGAAAGTTATTTCTATCCATGTGCCTAGATTGTCAAAGGTAGCAAAAAAAATGGCAATTATAAATAAAATCGGAACATAAAAAAATATTTTTGATGTTAAAAGTACATTGCAAAAATCAATTTTACAATTAATTATTAGAAACAAATAATTTTTCTATAAACAAAACAATTTAGAAAAGAATTATGTTTAGGAAAGAGTACATGCCTTTTTAATAATTTTTCTCATATAATCAGATTGGTGTAGTTACTTTTTCTCTACAATTAATTTTTAATTTGTTTATAACAATTTGTTGCAAGATTTATTTTTGCAATCTGTCTTTTATATTTTTATATAGAATATAAAAACTAGATAACTTTTAGATAAAATTTTTTTTATGTACGTTACAGTTAAAGAAATATTTTTAAAAAACTTCAAAATCCGTTATTTTCGAAGAGATGTTTTACCCTCTCGAGATATGCAAAAAAAAATATTGGTCTAATAAATAAAATATGGGATTTATAAACGCAATTAAATTACTATAGTAATATTACTATAGTAATATTACAAGTTAAATTGATAAGCAATTAATAACTTGACGCTCAATTGACATCATTTTAAAGAAAATTTTATTATTTAATGTAGTGAAAATCTATAAATAAAATTTATTGCGAAAAGTATTGATTTAGTTAAGAAAAAATGAGTATATCTACTAGAAGAAATTATGTGAACATCTGTTAAAGCAGCAACATCGAATATAAAAGACATCATCAATCCAAGTGGAATATTCGTGGCAAAACAGCAATTACAGCCTATAACAGGCATATAGGCTATTACAGCTATATTACAGTTGATACATTACAGTTGATATGTACAGAATAAACAGGCACAGTTCCAAATACCAGTTGAATTTTGTTTCCAAAATGATTCTATAATAAAATATGATATTTGTGGCGCAACTGCTATCATTACTTGTTCTTGGTGTAGAAAGTCACTTTGTATTATATATTTTTTTCGTGACCATCACATTTGCAATACCTACCATAAACAAGTACATTATTTGTTTCCGACGCCCATTGTTTCCCCATTATCGTTCGCTGGACGATCGAGCCGTCGATCACGCGGCTGGCGCTATCTCTTAGTGAAAAATACGTTGGTAGCGTATCTTTAGAAAAAATTTTTTAAAAAATTTTACTTTTAACATAATTTTTATAAATAAAATTTTCTATTATTTAGATATATTTTTTGCAAAAATATAAATGACACTAATGTACGATAATTAAAATTAAGATTTTTTTTTCACATCATCTTTGAGGTACTATTGCAAATGCGTTTTTTTTTTAATGGTTTCCTCCATATGTCTATTCTACTAAAAAAATATCGAAGAAGATGATAAAATATACTGCTCAAGAGTAAAATATTCTAATACAAAATATTTAACTAAACACAGATATTATATTAAAAAGAAGGAAATAATATTCACAAGTACACTATTATATTTTGCTTGTATTTTTATACGTATTTTTATACGTAGTATAAAATTATGAAACATTGCACTAACATGTAACTACACGAGGAACACTATCATATGTAGTATTATCTATCACAAATCACTATTAGCATGCTAATAGTAATTCCTTTTTTACACACAGTGTGAATCCTCAAAATTTTATAATCTCGCATAAGACCTTTAACGTACACATTTCACAAAAAATTGTTAAAAAACAATTTATTATAAATGATATAAAACTATATGATAAAATCATGAGATTTAAATATATCCATAATAGATTTTTAAACCTCGTCCTTCTATTATATACGCATGTATTTCTGCTGCTATTATACAATTGTTTTTTCTCTTTCGTTATTTCTCAAAGGTCGTTTGCTAACGATACGTATACGTTAAAGATCTTATTTGAGATTATAGAGAAATATAGTTTTATGGATTCGTATTGTAAATTTCTAAAAATAGAAGATACTATTAGTGTAATAATAATGTTAGTATTACATGTGATTATGTTACGTATATGATAGATATTCGACGTATGATAGTGTTACGTGTGATAATTTTACGTATGATACAGTTTTACATGTGATAGTGTTGCGTTTCATAATACTACAAGCGAAATACGCTATTATAAAAGAAAATCACAGTATAAAACTTGTAAATATTATTTCTTTGTTTCTGGTATGATATTAATAAATGCGTTTAGAAAATGAATAGATATGTGCAATTTTTTAATAAGGCGTGGGAAGAATTTTTTTTACATCTATTCATAATAAAATCATTTGCTTTTTTTATGCAGTTATCAACCATCTATCGTAAAAAAATACAATCTTAATCTAATATCTTCACAGATATTATAATATTAAACATTCAAGTGAATATTCAAAATATATGGACAAAAAGAAATTCGATTTGAAGGATTAAAATTAGTTCAACAACAAGGTTCGAGTCTTTTTGTCGATAATGCTACATCTTCAGAAGAAGCTCTTATAGCGTTATATGCAATTTCGAATTTAATTGCGAAAAATTTAAAGCCGTTCAGTGAAAAATTTGTAAAAGAATACCTCACCGCAGAGTCGTTCAGAAATTCTGTGACTCTTGAAGAAGCTAGCAGAATTCCATTAAGTGACAAAACTGTAAAATCAAGAATCGACGATATTACTTCTTCTTTAGAAAAAAAATAAAAATCTTTATTAGCATTTTGCTTTTTTTTCTCACTATGTTTCAATGAAAGCACCGATAATCGGTAGATGAGTCAATTGAGTATTTTTGTTCGAACTATGCAAAACGATTTTTTATATCGAGGAGCTTTTAGATATAATGTCATTACATAATATAACAAGAGAGAGAGAGAGATATTCTCGAAATTGCTAATCAAATTTTTCAAAAATTTAATATAAATTTTTCGAAGTGTTCGGCTATCATAACCGATAATGCAAAGACAATGATAAGTTCGAAAAATGGATTCTTCGGTTTAACAAAGTAATGAGATTTAAAATTCCATGTTGCTCATTGCATCAGTAAGATAGCAAGGCGAGTTCTAATCCATTATGCATATACGTAGACAGTGTGTGTGTGTGTGTGTGTGTGTGTGTGTGTGTGTGTGTGTGTGTGTGTGTGTGTGTGT